TTTTTTTTTTTTTTTTTTTTTTTTTTTTTGGTTGAATTTGGCCATCTGTGTGTTTTGGTTCAAACCAGTTGCCATCCTTTTTTTTTTTTTTTTTTTTTGGTAATGAAGTTCTTGAGTCCTTTCGATAGGCTCAGAAATCGCACGTTTCGCTGAATCATCGGATCGTACTTCCACATGTACACTTAAACCAGCACTACCTCCGAGGCTGTTTTTGCGGACCCTGTTTTTCACTGCGCACCGAGTTTTGCCGAGCCTGGGTCCAATTGTCTTCTCTTTTCTGGTACTCTCCTGAAAACAAAAAGAAAAAGCACGGGCAGACTTCCAAAAAAGGACCTACTCGCAGGCAAAAATAAATAAAAGAATAAACAAACAAACACCCCTTTGGACGTGATACTTGGTAGATACCTAGCCCAAAGTTGTCGCGTGAGTATGCCCTCAGTGAGGGCGTTAGGGCAGAGGGTGTCAGGTCCACGAAAGAAGGAAGAGGGGGGGGGGGGAAACTTGAAACTGAACTTAGGCCGGGAAAGCGGGTTCATGCATTCTGCAAAGTAATAGTGTGGGCATGCCCTCCTCCACAAAGTGTCGGCCAGCCCGTGGACCGCGCCGTGGCTCCCTGGCGGGGCACCAAAGAACTCGAAAAAGGAAGAAAACAAGAAACACTAACAATGAAAACCTGAAACTGGCCACTATAGCGGTTAGATACGAATATGCACATTATATGCACTCTCACAGCTCCTTCTGTTTGGCCAAAGATCCCCCGCCTCAACTAAGAACTTGAGAAGTAGTTGGTGACTACCTTCTTCCACCGAACTTATTGCACCCTGATAATGAATGTATACAAGCGTTCTTTCCGGTCAAGTTAAGTTATTGCACCCTGATAATGAATGCATACAAGCGTTCTTTCCGTTCAAGTTAACTTATTGCACCCTGATAATGAATGTATACAAGCGTTCTTTCCGGTCAAGTTCAGCCATAATGAGGGTGCATTGTGTTCGGGGTGTCTCTTATACACATCTAGATGTGTATAAGAGACAGCTCTCTCTCTCTCTCTCTCTCCCCCCCTCTCTCTTGTGTGTGTGTGTGTGTGTGTGTGTGTGTGTGTGTGTGCGCCCGCTCGGATGGCAGCATCGTGCGCCATAGTGCTCCCTTCCCATGAACACAACGCAGGGGGAAAACGACTGTGAACAAGCGTTCTTTCCGGTCAAGTTCAGCCATAATGAGGGTGCATTGTGTTCGGGGGAAGAAAGATGGTAGCAGGTGGAGGTTGATTTGGAGGAATGCAAAAGGAAACATATCTGACAGTACTTTGTGCGGATACTCGTTGGGTGTTGAGGACGATGCGAATGTTGTGGACAAATCTTGTTTCTGAATGACAAACGCTCACGGGGAGGAGGATCTTGCTTGCTGTTTTGTGTGTGCTTTTTTTGTTTTTTGTTTTTTGTTTTATATCTTCAGTTTTGCAGGTACCTCTTTTATTTGGGCAGGATTCGCACGATCCAGCTGGAGTACACGGCTGCGAAAGATTGTTTGGAGCAGGCGGCAAGGAAGGCTCCCCAGGCAGCAAGAGGCTTTCGGATCCTGTGCAACAAGTGGGCATCCATCGTGCGACTTCTTCTTGGGGAGATTCCGGATCGCAACAGCTTTATGCAGCCGGGTATGAGGAGGGCGCTGCAGCCGTATTTCGAGCTGACAAATGTAAGCTGAGAACTAACTTTGGCTGCCTCGATTATGTAAAAAAGTCAAACGAAAAAAAACGGCAACCGGCGAGCCTCCGCTGTGGCTGCGTCGTGTCGTGAATGTTCAGTCACATCATCTTCTGTGTTGGTGAAACAAAAGCTTCAAAGCTTAGGTAGCAAAGGGGGATTCCCAAATTTCGTATTCTCGGGTGAATGAAGTGGTTGGGGACCTCGCACCTGCGCCTGTGTTATGATTCTAAACATCGGAAAGCGTCTTGTTGTTCAATAAGCGTGAAGCAGGTGTGATCTGTCAAAGTAGCATGATTGCGATACACGATAGGAGATCTGCCACTGGCAGAGACATTAATGTGTGTGTGGGTGGGTGGGTGGGCAGGTGGGGGGGCGGGAGCACAGGTGTGTATGATTCTAAACATTGGTAAGCGTGAAGCAGGTGTGATGTGTCTAAGTAACGTGATTGCCATACACGACAGGAGATCTGCCACTGGCAGAGACATTAATGTGTGCGTGGGCGGGGGGACGGGCGGGCGCGCGGGCTTGTGTGTGTGGGTGGGTGGGTGGGCGGGCAGGCGGGCGGGCGCGCGCATGTGTGTGTGTGCCTGTCAACACACGGTGGGGATCGGAGAACCCATAAATGCATTTGATGGGTACGGGAGGAATCTGCTCTATTTCTAAACCATTTTTAAACCATGGTCTAGAAACCGGAACCCATAACCAGGCACATTCCTCACAGATAGTGGTCGAAAGAGCTGTGGTTTCTAAACCCGCATTTTTATTTGGCAAGGTCGCCGAACACACTACAGTCTTCGTCTGAATAGAACGACAGGTCGTTACAGCTGTATCGGGACTGAAAATTGCACCAAATACAGCTGTAATGACCGGGCATTCTATTCGAGTGAAGACGGTAGCAGGTAGCCTGAAAAACGAGAAGTCTAAGGCCGGCTTGCAGTGAGCTCTGAAGCCTTGTTTTGAGAGTCCGCTTTCATATTTTGAGACGTCGGAGCCCCCTATCTTTTCTACGTTTGTCAGGCACTCACTTTTTCTTTTTGTTGGTGCTTCCTCATTTTTGTCTTTTTTCCTTTTGTGGCGGCCAATCCAACAACAGTTCACTTGAGTATTCTGTGTGCAGAGCAGGCTCGTTAAGGTCTACCCTCTTCACCCGAATACAACGTATGCTCATTATTGCTGTATTTAGACTGAAAGATGCCCCAAATGCAGCTATATTGACCATACGTTGTATTCGGATGAAGAAGGTAACATGGCACTAGTCATTCTTTTCTTTTCTTTTTCTTTTTCAAAGGTCATCCCTTCCTCCCC